ATAAAGCTGTTGCTGACTGACTGTAGACACTTAACCTTTGAAATATTCTTGATGTCTGCATGCTGTTATTGTCTTTGGACTGTAAATTCCTCAGGGCAGGGAGCTTTCTGCTGTAGATCTATAAAGTGGCATATACATCTGTGTTACACTTCTAGGCATTGTATAAATTAGTAGTAATAGGTTATTTGCAGAAGAAGTACAAGGATCTCTGTGCTGAAAAGGTTACCATTTTATCTATAAAAAGAACAGGAGTACTTGTGGCATCTTACAGACTAACAAATTTATTAGAGCATAAGCTTTCGTGGGCTACAGCCCACTTCTTCGGATGCATATACTTGCGGATACAGACTAACACGTCTGATACTCTGAAACCTGTCATTTTATCTATGGTACTATTGGACTGAACGAGCTCCCATTATAGCTAATGGGAGTTGGATTGGGCCCCATATAAATAACTACATCTGCCTCTTTGCAAGACAGGTTTACCACACTAACTGCTTGCATTGAAGTGGGTGTTTGAGTAAACATTCATTGGTCCACTTATGTTGCTCATTTGTTGCATCTTGGCTCAGATTGCATCCCAATACTATAAACACTTATGTGCGTAATCTCATTGAGTTCTGTGGAACTACTCACATGAGTGAGGACCTGATGGTGGTCTGGGCAAGAACCATATCTTCGTTGTTGTATATTTAGCAACTAACATAATGAAACCCTGAATCTTTTTGGGGTGCTACCAAAGTATCTAATAATAATTATTATGATTGCTATTGTTCACAGCTGTTTCCTTCAATTGACTAGAACTATGTTGGGGTGTCTTGGTTCCAATGTAATTCTTTTTACTAAAGAATATTCACAAGCTCTCAATTTCATCATGATGCCAATCTGTAACTTCAAGTGAAGTGACATTTATTTTTGTGGTAGCTAGGGTGAGTACTTTGCTTTACTTCACTTTATGAAAGTGTGTGATGTGATCCAGTTAAATGTCAACTGGATCCATAAAAACAAATAAGGGAAATCTAATGGCAGACAATTTGAACTCTTAAAATCTATTTTTACACTTCTGTCTTCAAGTTTATTTTTCGTTCCAAATAATATTGATAGATGCACTAAATGTGTTTGATTCATATATAAATCCTTTCCGTTATCTAGTGATGTACCATACCTATATATTAGTGTAGAGGAATCTTAACTATAGCATACCCTTGTTCATCTTAACAACAACCTTAGCTGGAGAAGATGGTTTAGTGATCTCTGCTTCAAATTTGAAGTACCTAGATTCCTTGGAACCATATGTTTAAATCTCTGTCATATTATCTCAGACCTACCTCTTTCCAAGGTAGATAAATTGAGTACCACCCAGCATGTTGAATGTAAGAACAAGGATTCTTGCGTCAGCTTGGATATTAAGACCTTCTTTTCAAGAGAAGGAATTTTCCTTAGGGCTTGTCTACACTGGCAATTTACAGTGCTGCAACTTTCTCGCTCAGGGGTGTGAAAAAACACCCCCCTGAGCGCAGCAAGTTTCAGCGCTGTAAAGCGCCAGTATAGACAGTGCACCAGCGCTGGAAGCCATGGCCCTCATGGAGATGTGGTTGTTTTTATAGCGCTGGGAGAGCACTCTCTCAGTGCTCTGCCGCGACCACACAAGCCACGTTAACGTGCTGCCGTGGCAGGGTAGACTAGCCCTTAGTGTCCTAGCTGTATATTTTCCACTATTATGCAATGTCCTGTGCACCAACTTTCTGTTGCCCTGCACTTTGGAGGTGGTTGCATTTCCACTATGTTATGTGTATATTGTTTGTGAAGTGTTCTGGATGAAAGGTGCTACAGAAATATAAATGATGTATCTGAGAATTGACATTTATTATGCATGATTAATCTTATTGTTAGAGCATAACTAGTTTCACAAATGAAGTGGTAAATGTCACATCTTGATGACAGGTATCAGAGGGGTAGCCGTGTTAATCTGGATCTGTAAAAGCAGTAGAGAGTCCTGTGGCACCTTACAGACTAACAGACGTATTGTATCAATGTAGCATAGATAGAGAAGGGGCATGAGTGGACGAGAACTGAGGAAGCATTGTTCCAGGTCAGCCATAAAAATGTTGGTATATTGTGGGGCCATATGAGTGCCCATGGCGGTGCCACTGGTCTGGAGGTATATATTGTCATCAAATTTGAAATAGTTGTGTGTGAGGATAAAGTCACAGAGCTCAGCAACCAGTTGTGCTGTGGCATCATCAGGGATACTGTTCCTGACAGCTTGTATTCCATCTGTGTGTGGGATGTTTGTGTAGAGAGCCTCTACATCCATGGTGGCTAGGATGGTGTTTTCTGGAAGGTCACCAATGCACTGTAGTTTTCTCAGGAAATCGGTGTCACAGAGATAGCTGGGAGTGCTGGTGGTGTAAGGTCTGAGTAGAGAGTCCACGTATCCAGACAGTCCTTCAGTGAGAGTGCCAATGCCCGAGATGATGAGGCGTCCAGGATTTCCGGGTTTGTGGATCTTGAGTAGTAGATAGAATAACCCCGGTCGGGACTCTAAGGGTATGTTGATTTGTTCCAGACAATACGTCTGTTAGTCTATAAGGACGCTTTGCTGCTTATCTTGATGTCAGTATGTGAAGAATAATACATTTTACTCTCCATTATCCTTTTAAAAGTGAAAGGTTAGAGTATATTAATATTAAACTCTCATAGTGTAAACAATAATAAACCCGGGGATCACTGTGGAAAACTATGCAGTGACACATAGATAAAGCATGTGGTTCTAGTTTGTTTCAGCTTGCTTAAAATATAATTGCATCACTGAGAAATGCTTGTAATTCCTTGGGTGTGCTTAGCATTTACTCTCAAAGGGGGATAATAATTATGAGTATGGCTCAGATTTTGTCACAGATATTTTTAGTAAAAATCATGGACAGGTTTCAGTCAATAAACAAAAATTCAGGGAAGCCCGTGACCTGCCCTTGATTTTGACTAAAAATATTGCTGACAAAATGGGGAGGGAGGAGGTTCCAGCTCCCAAAGGGGCTCTGGGGCCCGCCCACCCGCCACAGCTGGGCCGCTTCGGGCGGGGAGGGGGGGACCTGCTGTCCGCTGGGGCTGGGAGCTCCGGGGTCCCTCTGCTGCCCTGCAGTAGGAGCTGCTGGGAGCCTGCCGACAGCAGCAGCTGAGAGCTACGGTGCTGCTTGCTGACAGTTCCAGCCCCAGGCAGAAAATGTCACGGTTGTCTCTGGAAGTCACAGATTCCGTAACTGCTGTGACCTCCTTGACATAATCGTAGCCTTAATTCTGAGCAATCACAGTTGAGTCAAATGTGTATACTGCAAAGGCAAATACTTTGTTAAACTAAGTAAATGTACTTTTAAGCCTAGTTTTGTATGAGATTACCTTGATGTTTTGGCTTTATGTTTACTTGATCATTTTGAAGTCAACAAATGATCAGATAAAGTCAAAGCGTAAACTCTGCTAAAACTGGTTTCTGGTTAGCATGTTTATGAGAGAGTAAACACCATTGCATTACGATTTGAGTGTAACTTTAAAGCAGCCATTACTTCAATGGAGCAGAGCAGTTTTGTAGTCTTGCACTCTATACTTCCACCAGCGTACTTGCTGGATCAGAAACTTTCCAGACTAATTAATTTACTTAAAATATTTGTGCAATGAACAGTAGATGCAGCAGCTGAAATATCTGTAAAAAAGAATGCACCGCCACATGGAATGCCTTTATGAGGAACATTTGGCAGGCTCTTTTCTTGTATATCAGATTAAGCAGCAGAAGACAAAAGGAACACTTCCCATGGGTTTTCAACAACTTGTCATTAATTCTCGTGATGTCGAGCGTCTCTTTGAGTTATAACTTCTCTAGCTGATGTGATCGCAATACAGTATTGTGCTCTTCCTGATGCACTCATACATATTAAACAATCTATAATTACTGCAAACTGAAAATTTTATGAATTGTACTTACACAATTATATAGCAGAGGAAACTTGAAAGAGGACTGTCTAGAAATAAATGGCTGTTAGGTTGAAGGGACATATCACCTTAAATCACACTGCTGTCTGTTTTAAATAACTGTTGTACAAGGAATGCCTACATTTGCTGTAACTTTGCTCAGATTTTTTTCTTCTTAGTTTTGTTTACTTTGTGCAGTTGACAGTACTTCGTATATCATCAGTTGGTTTTCCCTTTGTTGGTCTTTCACATAGCAAAGGGAAGAAATAATGACTTTTCAGATTTTTCTAAAACAAAAGATGACAGAGAGCATATGTGGTATCTGAAACTACTTTCAACATTAAAAAAAAACCACCCTAATTTTTAAGATGATGGTGCTTCTTTAAAATAATTTTTAAAACATTTTTTGTGTTGTAAAACTTCAAGATTAAAAATAAATGCTTTCAAAACTCTTCACATTTAATGTTGTTTAGATTTCTGCATTTTTCTCAGCTTGGACAAACTTTAGTAAACAAAAACCTAACCTCACATTTAGGTCCTCATGCAGTAGCATAATACCACAACATACAGTTGTAAACTTTGCAGAGCAATGTTAATCTGTTTTAAATTGGAAAAAAGAAATTCCACTGGCATTTAAAAAAAATAAATCAGGTAAAACTTCTGTTGGTCTCAAACTTTGTGAAAGCTTATTTTGAACTTCTATTTCGGGCCAAATTTGACGTAGCAGAAAAATTAAAGCTTTAGTTATTTATACAGTTAATACCATTTTCATTTTTCATAGTTTTCATACTTCAGTTATTCAGTATAAACCACATAAAATACACCTTTTAGTCATTTTAGCCAACAGATTTCCTAAAACTGACATGCTTGTTTTAAAAGGCAACATAACTCCTCAATCTTGACCAACATTTTGATAAATTGCAGGCATACAAGTTTTACTTTAGCATCTCACTTTTCCTTAGAATTATCACAAAGCACTTCTTACAAACTGTATATTAGGATCACTTTGTCTACCATTGAACTATAGCCACCTCAGAGGTAGCTGTTTAAAAATACCCTACATTAGTATGTAATAGTTCAGAAATTTCCATATATGCCTGATTTCTTTGGGTCCCAGATCCAATCTGTAAAATCCCCTGAAAGTTGTATCTGCCTTAGAACTGGTAAGTTAGGTGTGGGCCTAAAATTGTATTTATCTACAAAATTTGAGGTGAAATTGGACATGCAGTTCCTTAATTTTCACCCTAAATAAAGAGGTAGAGTTGACATAACCCCACAAAGTCTTTGGGCTAGTCACAGGGCTAAAAGCATAAGGCTTGTGTGTGGGATCTCTTATAAGACTCATAAGGGTCGCCAGGAGGTTGATGCACTTAGGTGAAGCCCCACTCCAGTGCAGCTCCTCAGGTCTTCTTCTAATGATTTTAAGAAGATGAATGTCCCCTCAAGTACACCTTGAAGGAATCAGGAAAAAGGTGTGGAGAGAGGAAATGCCCACCATTTTCCTTCATGCCTGAGTTGCACAATAGGAATTCATTCATTCAAATGAAGCTAACATACTGGCACATGTGAGTGGTGAGTGCACATCATCTAACAGTTATTCACATGACTTTGTTAAACACCTGATGCAAATCCAAAAGGTAAATTTGGATACGTGGCAAACATACTTTTGATTTCTTTTGTTTTCAGGGTAGATTTCCCATCCCCATGCTCTGCAGCTCTGAAATAGGCTTTTGTTACTCTGTAGTAAATATTTTCCAAGATGATGAAACTGTGAAGTCTCCAAAATTAATCAGCCGATTACTGTATCCTGGTAGTATTCTTCTGCCTTCAGTGAAACAAGTGGTTGTTGATTGTGCTTCCCCAGTTAATGCTGTATCTAGTCCCAGTAGATCTGGTAGCATTAATCAGTATTGCCAGCCCCAAGCAGTCAATCAAGAGTCAGTCTTTAAAAATAATCACAAGACTGGTTTAAAAATCGTGAGACTTTAAAAAAATTAGTTTTTGCTCTTTGCATTCTGGTGTCTGAGCCTTCACATCCGTCATAGGGTTTTTTTTAACCTGTTTGTGATAAGGTAAAAAACAAATCTATTCATAGATGGCTACATGGAAAATGAAAGAAACCTGCTTCTACTATGTTACTTTTGTAGTGCCCAGAAGTGTGTTAGGTGTTTCACAGAATAACTTGAAACACATGGTCCTTGCCTCAAAGAGTTTACAGTCTAAATTTGAGATGTTATGTAAAGAGTGGAGGTGGGGATGAGGATTACAGTAAACATGGTTAGTCAGTTTAGGCATGAACACATCTTGGTGACTCAACTAAGGTTTTTGTAGCATGTAAAAGTGAGGATATTCTGCTCAGGTTCTTATTCAGCTTTCATAATCATAGTATCTGAGCTTCTTTCAGAAGTGATTTAAGCAATATGATTAGTATCTGTCATGACTATAGAAAATAATACTATTTACTCATTTGGGGCCTTGTAAAAGTGGATTTTCTAGATCTAGTGTCATAATATTGCTCCCATTTCACCCTATCGACGACTCCACCTGTTGGTGAGTAAGCACTTCAGTCTTGCTTCACTTCTACCAAAAACTAGTTTCAGTACTTGAGGTGGAGAGTATTCCCATACTCTCCTAACAGTTTTTATTACTCACACCAGCTAGCCTATTACTTTCAGGGATGTCACCCCTCTTGTCTCTAGTAGTTGGTCTGGAATCTGCTGGTGTCTCAGTGCTGGCAACTGGCACGAGATCTCTGTGTCACACCAGTGGATGAGTACATAACTGGAAACTTGCCTCATACTAGGGCCAGCCTCCCCCCTGACTAGATATGTGAAACTGTGACAGCAGCAAGGAGAGCTGCCAAGGTGGTACCATGCTAATAGTTACTTCCCTAAAAGAAGCCTCGTATTGCCTTTGACAAAACTTAAATACTACTTTCATTTTGAAAAGAATAAATGCTTTTAAATCAGACTAAATCAATCACAATAGAATATCTCTGGCACTGAAGTTTAACACTAGTTCTCTTTTTATTGTGTGGCTAGTGGGGAGCTTGGTGGCTAGAGGAAGCAATGGTACATAAAATCTGGTACATTAAGAATAGCATTTGACACTTTTTTATTTCTTTATAGAGTTTGATCTGCATACAAAATGTGTGGTGGATGTGGACACAAACAAGGTTATTCTTCACCCTGTAAACACCAATCTTGCAAAGGGAGATGCCAGGTAAGACTTTTAAACTAAGCAGCACTGGTCTAGTACATTAGGTATGGATCTAGCAACTGGGAGATTTTGGTTCCTACATGTGATCTTGGGCACATTTCTTAAATTCTCCAGCTTTAAAATGAGGCCAATAATGTGTACCCACCTCAGTAAGATACTCTTGAGATCTACAGGTGATTCTAGAGTGAATACTTGCTCACCACCCTTCCCTAACTAATATTTCAACCCATAATGCCATTAGTTACCTTTTCATTTATTCATTTCTGTACTCCTGTCTGCATTGTTTTAGATGTGACAGCTGATTTCAGAGCAGGGCAAAGTCTCCCTCATTTTTTGGAGGAAGGAAATTTGCTCATACTTTTTTACCCAACTGTGCTTGTGTCTGGTCAGTAAGGGAAAGGACATGCATGCATATTGGAGAGATCTATAGCTATAGTCGGTGCCTAGATATTATGGTATTAGATGCATTAGGAATGTTTAGCATGGAGATGACAGTTGAAGGCAGGGACTAACTTTTGTGTAGAAAATGGCCAAGAGACTGCAAATTTATTAACTCCTAAATGCCAAAGGTCCTGTTGATGTTTGAAAGAGGGGGAGAGTGACTAGCTTATTTCTTGTTTGCTCTCAGGAGAAGAAAGGAGAAACAGAAAACAAAGTGGGCTGAAAGAAAGAAGGGTGAAGTGTAGAGAGAGACCAGTGAAAATGTACTGAAAACAATACAGCAAAAGAGATGACATTATCCATTTATTTAAAAAAAGAGCAAAAACAGGAGTTAGGAAGTATATTGATGCTAGGAAGGTAAGGAAAGAATAACAGGTGAAAATTGTAGTTCTTTACATTTCAAAAAACTTACTTAAAGTTGGTTGACAGTGTTAAATACAATGCATAACTACTTTTTCCTTAAAATTACAGTGGTTTGGGGAGTGTAGTGGCACAGTAATTCATCCTGTCCAGTAGACTTAGTCTTTGGGCTAGAAGATGTCAAGTAAACTTCTCAAGCCCTAAGTAGCATGTGGAAAAGTGAGGCAAAAGGAGATTAAGGAGACCCTATGCAAACTTCCACTGATGTCAATGAAGAGGCTTCTACTGAAGTCAGTGGAAGCTGGTTCAGGCCTTTTGTGACTTGCCCGAAGTCAAATAAGAAGTCTGGCAGAGCTAGGTATAGAACACACATTATTTAGCTCATAACTCCAGTCCTCTGCTCTAGCCACAAGACCAACTAATTCTGTCTCGAAAGTTGTCTAAACTGTTCATGTAAAGTCACTGGTAGTGGGTAAGGAACATGTAGTTAAAATACATGTTGTGGGTGGGGAATTCAGTCACGTGGTGGAAGTGCTTTCACTTCCCTGGACTGAGTCAGCTCACTAAACAATGGGCAAAGTTCAGATTTGCTAGACTGTTATATTGGGATTACAAGGTGTGTATCCCCTGTGAAAGGAAAACTAGTGTTCCTCCCACTTCTAAGTAAATAGACTGAAGGCCTAAGTACAAAACTGAGAACCATATAATTGGAGCAAAGCCACATGGAGGTTGAGGGTGTGGAACACAGTAGCTCATATTCATTGTTGTTTTTTTATGGATTACGTGGCTATCTCATCCCTGTCCTTTACCTGTGACATTGGCCAGTCTGATTAAAGCTCTGCATTACACATCTCTCCATCCACAAATGTCAGAAAATCTGGTACTGTGGCCAAGTCAACAGGCAAGCAAGTATTTTCCATTTCCCAGTTTCCACAGTCTGTGAAATGTAACAGAGGGTCCTGTGGCACCTTTAAGACTAACAGAAGTATTGGGAGCATAAGCTTTCGTGGGTAAGAACCTCACTTCTTCAGATGCAAGATTCACTTGCATCTGAAGAAGTGAGGTTCTTACCCATGAAAGTTTATGCTCTCAATACTTCTGTTAGTCTTAAAGGTGCCACAGGACCCTCTGTTGCTTTTTACAGATTCAGACTAACACGGCTGATACTTGAGTCTGTGAAATATATTACTTTAGGGACAAATACAGTCCTGCATAACTGAAAAGGGTAGCATAGAGTCAGAGAAATTTGGCTGTGGCACGAGGGTTGAGGGAACGTATCTGTATCTAGCAGATTTATATCAAAACATCTGCACTGTCCCTACATCCTCCCCACACAAATTCCTCGAGGCCAGGCCCATGAGTTTGTGGAAAATTCCTCACTGCTTTTTTCAAGTTTTAGGTAGAAGATTTCAGGCAGTAACGAAAATTCAGTTGATAAGATGTCCTAGTCTGGGATAAGGGTCCGTGAAGTGAGGTTGTACATGAACAAGGCAATTTATAATTCAGTTACTAGTAACTCTTGGGATCCTTGTATTCCGTATTAAAGGAGGCTTTCTCCCCACTTGCCTTTCCCCTGCATCACAAAATAATCAACTGTAGAGTTTGGAAGGTTTTACTCCCTTTTTTTGTTTTATTTTTTATTTTATTTTAAACATTAAACAATCCAGCAAGTCAACTGTTTTGTCTCGGGTATAGCTTTATGGCTTTACTTACATATGACTGGATGTTCAGTGACTAATCTTTTAATGATACTCTAGATTTGTAAAGCAAAACTTCATAGTTCGGCGTGTTGTTTAAAAGAAAAGTTGAAACTCCTGAGTTCTAGTCCAATTCTTAATGGATATCTTGAGAACTTGGACTTTAACATCTCTGCTTCTGTTTTTCCCCATCTTCAGGTTGAATCTTGTATTTACCTACTTCATTAGAGATGGTGAAAATTAATGTATGCTAGTCAAATGATTTAAAAGCCTTAGATGAAGTGTGTCTGACTCTGTGTGTTTCTGAACAGGTTACACCTTGAAGACACTTATTACCCCTGCTAGCCTTCCTTAACCCAGGAGTGGTCTTACATGGGACAGAGAAATCAAGCCAGTTACTGTACTGAGTAGCCCTTATTATGGCTTTGCTGGTAGTGTCAGTAATCTGCTCATGTAAAGTAGATCAACTTCAAAATCTACAGAATAACCTCCAAGCTGGTATGCTACAGTACTAGCTCTAATCTTACTTTGGTTTTGTGTATGTTCTTCCTCCCTTGTAAAGAAGGAAGCTATATTTTATTTATATATGTATACACACCTGTTCCGTAACGCTGTCTGCAAAGGCCTACCAAGAACAACTTCTCTAAAGCTGCTGTCATAAAAAATGCTTTGCTATAAATCCTTAGAAGTTGATCTTCTGTCTAGCTCCTCCCATCTCCACACTTACAGCACGGCAGCGGCACAGCTGCAGCACTTAGTGAATACGCTACCTATGCGAACAGGAGAGCATCTCCCATCAGCATAGGTACTCCACCTCCCTGAGTGGCCATAGCTGTGTCGACCGGAGAAACCCTTCCGTTGACATAGCACTATCTACACTGGGGTTAGGTTCACAGGTGCTGACTTTTGTTTTTGCTGGTGGATTTCCCACCCCATCCTACGGCCCCACTGCCACTTGGCCTCTTCCAGCTCCTGCTCTGCCCCCTCCCCCGAGACTCCCCCAAGTGCCTCTGCTGCTCACTCCTCTTTGCCCTCTTCCCTGAGCACCTCCCACCCACTGTTCGTTCCTTTCTGCCCCCTCCTGCCTTAAAGACGAATGACAGGAGAAGGGGGCAGAGAGGAGCAAACGACCATGGCCTCAGGGGAAGAGGCGCAGCATGATGGGGCCCAAGGGGAAGAGGTGAAGCAGGGGAGGGGCCTCAGGGCGGAGTGCAGGCCAGGCAACAGGCTGGGGGTGCTGAGCACCTCCGATTTTTTCCGTGGGTGCTTGAGACCTGGGGCACCCACAAAGTTGGCGCCTATGGTTATGCTGATATAACTATGTCGCCTGAAAATCCACACCCCAGAGCGACGTAGTTATACCAAGATAAGTTCCTAGTGTAGACCAAGCCTAATTTTATCTTATGGAGCTGTTTGTGTTCTCTCTGTTGCAAAAGGTCAGAGCTCATATTTCCTCACCAACATAAAATTTTACAGTGCACTGCAAGCATTAGTCAAAAGTTTATTAGTTTGTGGTTGGCATGGGGGGAGGGTATGAATTCATTTTGATAAGGGTGAAAAGATAATATCTGCATAGCAACTGGGATGTCTGTAAGAACTAAGTTTTTGAATAACCCATAAATAGATAGCACTTCCTGAAGCTTTTAAGGCTTCTTGATTCTAGACTCTTCTGTTTTGTTTTTTTGTTTAGAAAACACAGTATTTAAAAAAACTGAGATTATTTTTTTGAAAGCCTAGAAATTAACTACTTTTGACCAATTAGGGAAAAGGAGTTAAATTACAGGGCATAACTATAATTGTGTGTAAATGATAAACCCTTCGCTAATTTGCATAGTGGTCACACCCAGGGTTATAAACAAAGAGCGATGGTTGTAAATTACAGCATTTACTAAATCTGTCCAATAGAAGCCAGCATTACAAAGAGTATTGTACTTTATTTTATTTTATTTACCATGTGCCTTTATTAAGCGCTAAAAGTACTTTCAGATACTATGCATGTTCTTTAGTTCCAGTCCCTATTTATGGTTTTATAGTCACATTACTATTTTCAACCCTCCCCCCCCCCTTCCCCATTATTGTATGATAGACTGACAAACAAGGGACCTTCCATGGTAAACTGTGCAACTGACTACTTTATGCAGTTGATAATTTTTGTATACAAACAAAAATGATCTTTCGGCTATACTAATATTAGGTAAAAACCGTTCAGTTACAAGTGTCATTGATGGTGACCCTCAAATATCTAACAACCATCAAATATCTAACACTGCTCTTAGTAATAAATAAATTAATAAATTAAAAAAACATAAATCATGGTTTGTTTGTTTTTAGTGTTCAAAATGACAGCAGAGTCTGTTGCTAAGGAAACTGGGTTGTATAAAGAATTTACACAATTTTCACTATCCCCTAAGGATTTTCAGAAAGCTGAAGATGGAATCAGCTGGCATCTTACTCAACTCTGAGATTTTTTGCATCCTCCGTATGCATGTTTGGAACTCATGGGTT